TTTGGGGTGGCCAATGGCGTTCCGTACGATCCGCCGTGGGAGGAGGCGTCACTGGGCGGAGTGACGCTGAAGAGGGTACAGGGCACCAGCTGGGAAGGAGGGGCGAGGTCGACGTGCCGGGGAGAGCGGTGTGGTACGAGGACGCTGAAGAGGGCGAGGCACTACTGTGGGGCACGGTGGTGGATAGCAAGGCGTTAGTGCTCGCCTCCGACTCAGCAGGCAGCCCTTGAGCGCGTAACATGGCGTCCAGACGCGCCTGTGATGCGGCGGAGCGGGGTGAAGGTGTCGGGGTCCCTTGGGAGGTTTCAGCCACTTCTGCATAGGACTTAGCTCATGCTCCGCTGTCGACGCGGGCCGCTTTCTTGGCGTCGATGGGCTGTCACCTTGTGAGGGTGAGGGGGACGCCATAGAAAGCTCGTCCTCCCACTCTGCAATTGCTGGTCGGTTCCTCCTTCAAGGGAAGAAAATGAGGAGGCCTACTGAAGAAATTACATTTCGCTCCGTCTGAACCATCTGCGACCTCGCAGGAGTAAAAGGCGCTGATGCCCCTCACAATCACTACTTTTTGTGTGCCTCAAGAATGGATGCACACACCGGTTAGGATTCTTTTGTGTTCTACTTATTCGTCTGGGAAGGGCAATTCCACCATGCTTGAAGCATCGCACCTCACTGTTGACCACCGGTGATGCGACATGGGCCCGTGGGGTGCCAGACATCAGTGAGGGTGAAAAATCAATCAGCACTAATCGAGTGTAGATGGGCTGAATCCCAGAATCCACCGTAGAAAGGGCCCAGATGATTGCACAATTTATAACCACAGAAAAGCAGAGCGCTTCGTGTCGATCGCTGGCTTGGAACAACTTCGAACTTGACGCCCATGAATCAGTGGCTGTACACAGAGGCCACTGCATAACGCAAGTAAACAGCTGCCTCTTCTTGTCCACATTCATATATAGTTTATTTTTCTTTTGGAAGCCTTCTTGGTCTTTCCTAGCAGCTGATCGGGCCAGTGTCTGTTCTATACCGTCTTCCGGCGACTCGGCGAGTTCTCAGGCTCCACGTTCAACATGACCATCCCTCGTTTTCTACGGTAGCTACCCCGTTTCTATGCCGCATGAAAGCAGGGCTAATCACCGCACTCGGGGAACTCACCCATCCTATCTCAACATGTCTCGTAAACTTCGAGAATACGGATAACCTGTATATCCGAATGACGCGATCCAACTTCTAGTTCTGTTAAGTATCTCGCCATACTACTTATGTCCGCCTTTCCACTTCTGCTACATCTCAGGTGGTCCGTGCTTCCTAGGTACACCTCGTTCCTCGACCCTCCTATGTCAATACTAATGCCAAGGTACAACTGATCTCTCCAAACAAATCTCGTACAAGTTTGGTAAATATGGTCCCAGAACAACATCCAAAAACGCTCGTACCTTGTGGCCCTTCTCTTATCCATCTTGTGCACCGTGATTCACCACTTCCCTTCGATCCTCAAGCTCCCGGCTCTTCCTAAGTTCCTCCTCGAGACCTCGGCGAGCGGCAAAGTTGCGCCGGTGGATACCAACGTAGCTCTGCGACCCCATTCGTCGATCAGATAGCAATGATAAGGTGCCGTCCTGCGTTTTCTATCAGAGGGGTCGTCTGATGCCTAAGTACTTTGATAGAAAGCGCATGTACTCTAAAGCGGTGAGCAGACGTCGCATTCGTACGGCGGCCGCGCTCTACATTCGCGAATATTACGTTTCTTGGCTTGGACGCATCTGTTCGTCGCAGTGGCAGGTTCTATTGAATTCGACTGACTACCCGAGCGCTTCTAAGTTCCAGGTCCGATCTCGCCCGAACAGGCTAAAACCGATAGACCTGTCAATGCTGAGGCTGAATGGGACTCCTCGCAGAACATTGGATCTACCTTTTCCTGGACGGCCCACATTCAGACGGCGGCCGGGCACTACAGTCGCGCAATTTGCGTTCCTTGGCTAGGCCTATGTTTGTCGTGTGCTTCAACTCTGTTGTGCTTGCCGGGTCCGCGCTTGCAAGCCCAGGTTCAATCTGCCCCCTTGCCCGCAACAAGTTAACGCCGAGAAACCTGTCACTGCGCCGACTCTTCGCTGGATTCATGCTGGACGTTCTTTTCTCTGGGCGCGCGCACTTTTAAGCTTGGTCGCAGCCTTCTAGGTTAACCTGAGTCGCGGTGTTTCTGCAACGTGAACGACGTCTATGTAAGTCTTCACATATTTCTCTCTTCTCCATTTGTCTTTTGCCATCTATGTCTTCCGCCGCTTTGTTTAATCAAAACTTTCGCCGTCATCCCGGTTTGTTCAAATGAAAATTGTTGGCCCCGACAGTTCTCAATTCAACCTCGTTCAACCCGCGGAGAATCGACATGAGCCGCGGCGCACCTCGTTGCCCTCCCTGCTTAAACTACAGCCCATGACGGGAACGCACCGCATGGCGCGATGGTTTAACCACCTTTCTCCGTCCTAGTGTGCTTCATTTGCCTTACCTAGCCCACAACTTGACGACCGCATCCGCTGGTGCATGCTACTCTTTATAAAATTAGGTCTGTCTGAAGCCTTTAAATTCTCCTCGGGCATCTCCGACAACTCGAAGCTCCGCTGCACGACTTAGACTGCAGCTTCAGGTCAGCCCAGGGGAACGCTCTTATATTGATTTAGAATTTCTAATACATTTCTTTCTTTAATTGTTGTACGTGGGCTGGTCTTCGTGGTCCAGTGGTAGCTGCAAATCCTGGTTTTTTCCCCCCGGTTCTGAGGGAATGAAGCATCCGAGGTCTACCTTTAACAAGGCCCTCGTACGGGTAATTCTCCGTGCACCAACCAATTTTTACTTCTTTTCGATTTTTCAGCTCGACTCTGCTCTGTCCAGGTGTCGAAAAATTCGTATACATACGCCGTGTTCGCCTACATCGCAATGTGTAGCAGCCAGTCGAAGCCACTAGTAAGCCTTTTCCTATTCTACACGCCGGCTAACCACATCAAAACACAACGATTTCGTTCAATGTGAATGTGCGGAGAATCGATTGGGTGCGTTTATTTCGTAGCCCGAGGGCTTGCTTAAGTGACGGTCCGAGGAGGGGATTTCATGTTGGTGTTCACCCGATAGGGTGGGCCTGTGCGTTCTACCGATCGTATCGGCATCTGTGGTGGTTCCAATTGCGGAAAATAAAGTCTCGGCCATCAGTAGCGAAGGTCGTTCCTCTGTAATCGGGCGCTGTGGCAGGGGTCATGCGCGACACCATAGTGGGCTCGGTGAGTGGACTGGAGCCAGGAAGAACCGTGGACGACGTATCCTGATATACGTCGATGTCCCATTAAACGGACCAGGTGCGGTGTCGTGAAGACGGGAAGGTCTGCCGTGACGGGAAAGGTTTCGGGTAAGCGCGTTTAGCTCTTGCTCGGTGCATTGATAAGGGAGTGAGGGAGCGCTAGGATAGCTGGGGAGTACGGCGCTGGAGGGGGGTCTCGTTATCAGACGAGTCACTGGAGAACGTTGGGGTTTCTGGAGGAGCTGCCCTTTCGGACTGGGAACGCTTTTCGCGTTTTCTACCTTTAGACGGCATAGCGGGATCCTAGGATCGAGTTTAACGAGCAGTCGAGACTGTAGAAAAAGATATTCCGAGCTGGTGGAGGATCGAGTTGACGTTGCGGGAAGGGAGGTCAAAAAGGTGATCGCTATTGTCGGTCTGTAGCGGAATGCCGTTCAGAAAGTCAGGGGACTTAATCCTTGGGATTTTGCGAGAGTAGAAGGAAACAAACTCTTCTTCTGATGTAGTTTCAGAGAAGGGCAGTTGGGCAAAGATGAGCTGCGAAGTAAAGGGGATGACTGGAGAGAGGTAGGAATTGCTTCGGGACTCTTGGGCTCCAGAAGGAGTCATTACCAGCAGCGAATGGCTAATTGGCGAAAAGCGTGAGGATGCAAGGTCAGGTGAGCAAGCTATTTTTTTTCGCACGGTTGAACTTACCCAAAGGTATCCACCCAATTGGTAATTTCTTGACCTCGTTCGATTCGGGGTGCGTTCCCATCCTTTTTAAACTCTTCCGTGGACGTTCGGCTCCCCTTGGCTACGTGGCTGGGTGGGTCTACTGTATAGGCGGGGTCATATAATAAGGTTCAGCGAGGTTCGGCGTAGTAGGCTTGGCTACGCCAAGGTAGACATACACAGGACAGCTCCTCGGTCTACCTCTTTGTACACGCGTGGCCATAGCCTCCGCCCGATCTCGTGCCGCGGAATTGTTCTGAATTGAAAAGGCGATGTTACACACGTCCAGCTCTGTCCACGTTGGTGTAAACCAAGGGACCAGTAGCGGGACTTCGTTGGCATGACGTAGACATGCAGGTGGTAGATATACTATATCTACCTAAGCCTCCTAAGCCCATAGGCAGACCCTACTGTATATGTGGACAAAGGACGGAAACGCAGTGCTTCCTTTAAAAGAAAATCAGTGGTTGCTTTTACCCTTAGACTACGTAGCCATAAGTTGACGAAGAGAGGCAAGCACCCGATGATCCAAGGTGTGTGCACCTGCCGGACTACAATGAACCAACAATTTTAGCAGGAGGTTCCTCATTTAATTCGGGGTTGCCAATGGATGATGCCTCGGTAGTGCATATGTTTTTATGGGACACTTCACTCTACCAAACCTACGTCTTTTTTTGTAAAGGAAAACAAGCGCACGATGGCGCAAGGTGTACATCTGCTACTCTTAGCTGAATTTGGAATTTGTTAGCAAAGGTCTGTTGTGTTTCCTTTTCTCACGGTTGCTTCTCATCAGTACCCTACCACAACGCAACGAAGAGAGACAAGTACCCGATGGCGCAAGGTGCGCATCTGCTTGACTTTGACATGATGAAGCGTTGATGAAGATGAATGTTTGGGTAAGCAGGAGGTCCGTCGTCGGGTGATGTTTTCATTATAATTGTTTTGTATTTATTCAGTCAGCGGTCGCTTCTTTACTCTACATAACTCACAAATCAAGATGCACTCGATGGCGCAAGGTGCGCACTTGCTACATTGTCGGATATGTAACACATGTGTAAGCAGGGAGGTCCTCGTTCGATTCGGGGTCGGGTGATGGTCTTGCATGTTTGTGCTTTTTTTTGTCCGGTCTTTCTTCCCTCTTTCATTTTGTTCTTCAGCTCAAGTCTCCTCGACCTCACGGTCTATATAGTAGATGATCCAAGTCCCAAGTCGAATTCATCACCAGCCGCCGCGGTCGTATAAGGATCTCAAAAAGCTATTCTACCTCTTCATCGATTCGTTCGTTCGGTCCAACATGGACGGATATCCATCCCACAGCACTCATTTCTGCGCTACACAAATCCAATAATAACCCTTCCGCTAATTTATAAATGCGCCCTCCGAGATATATATGCCCGTTCCGTCGGGCGTGTAAACGGGTGTGCGGAAATAGCAGAGATAGGAACAGACAAGGTCAGACAGACACAGGGATCGTAATTAATAGAAACAAGAACAGAGATAGGAATAGAAATAGAAATCCGCAGCAGTTGGTGGGGTTGGTTTGTCAGGATAACAGTCAGACGTCGAGATAGCGAGGCACTGGGAACCTGGCGCGGACAATCATTTATCATTCATCATTGAAGGCAAGATTGAAGGACAAAACAGAAACAGAAACAGCAAAAGCAAAAAACAGCGAGCTGTGTTTGTTTATTTGATATTCCGGGCGTTGGAATATTCCATTATTTGTTGGACAATTGCGAGGACGAAGCGACACGTAGTCAGCTGCAGAACGAATGAATGACCAAGCCGTAAGTGCGATGAAAACAAAGAGTGAAAAGCCAAGCGCCGAGTTCTTTTTAACTCCAAGTAAATTTATGCCGGTAACCAAGGCGATTGTGCGATTCCGCGGTAGATCAGGGTTCGGGTTCAGAGTCAACACGTATGCCTGTCCTGTGCGCCGTATCATTATTGCAGTATGTAGACCGACATGACGCCATCGATAACCGAAGGCGCGCGGGGATGACGGCAGTTTCATCTGGCTTGGGGATAGAACATGAGGCGGACGCGTGTGCGCCAGAATGTCGCCACACGGAGCAGCATGGAGATGGGTATCCATAATCCTGCGGTGATTCCTTCCTCGTCGTCCGAGTTGTGAAATCTGATTGCGGTGATTCGGACTCCTAGTGCGGGTTGAGTCAGAGTTACGGATCGAGATTTTGATTTTGGGGCAAGGTCAAGGGCGGACGGAGATACCATCGATGTAGTACAGTATCGATTGAATGGTTTTGGGGGGAGAAGGGCCGATCAGGATGGTGAGGCAGCGGAGTTTTCATGATGTTTTTAATTTTTTTTCTGGTACGCATCGGATTGAGATTGAGATTGAGATTGAGTATTGAAATTATTCGACAGACATACGGCAAGAGATTGATGCAAGATAGCGTATGATAGGACAGATACTGACGGCGTGACGGCAGACGGCGAGCAGAAGACCCAGGAATATTAATATCATCATCATGCGGGATGGCCCACTACCGCATAACAGTAGCTGGACGTACTGGACAGCAGCGATTGATGGGAGTGGATTGAATGAATGTTGTAAGTAGTGGAGTTTTCGACAGGCAGAAGGCTGAAGCGCTTGGGGTAGGATAATTTATTGGACAGGGTTCAGGTGATGTGCACGAATTCAGAACACGAGGCTAGCGGACGGGACGGCTACGGAAGCATATGCTGTTGCTGTTGCTGGGGATTGATGCCCGTGTTTGAGCGGGTGATGCGTCGTCGGGTGTTGCATTGGGAGTTGCAGAAGACGTGGCATATTGAAGGAAAATTTGGAGGCAGGACGATGCCCAGGAAGAGACGGAAAGACGGAAAGCGCTTGCAATTGTGTACGCGTGATTGCCGCACACCATGAGCGCGATATCCGTGCACCGAGAGTACTTTCCGGGTAACGATCCGTCGCAGACGGGGATTGTGGTGGAGACGACGGTGCTGAAGGGGGCGTACATGTTCTGGGCGGGTACGTGCGCGAGCGAGGAGGAGAAAGACAGCGCGGTTGAAATGGGGCGCCTTGCAAAGGACTGGGCGTGTGCGATGCCGCCGAATGCGACGGTGGGTGTAGTCTAAGTATATATATGAGGAAAGAGGACTGACGGCTGGGTAGACTGGCACGAGCACGGGGACGGCGCTGTTCAGGAGCGCGGCAAGCGATGCTGCGTTATCGATGGCGTGTCGACTGGGTGGGTGTTCCGGTGCCGCCCATATTCACCTCTCACTCTTTTTTTTCGCAGCGACGCGACTCAATAGCCAGGTGTTTGTTGGATTGGATGTTGAGAGCCGACTGGTTGTGCTGGCTGAGAAAAGGATTGTCTCAATTGTGTCTTCTTTGGCTCCTGGTGTAAATCAGACGGTTTGATTCAAGTTCTCTCCCAGCCGGACTCCAAAAATACAGATACGTTCACAGCCGGCGCTGGCCATCGCCAGGGCCATAGCATTTTAATCTCGCAATTTTTTTCAATGTCCTCGTTGTGTTTGGTTGAACTAAAACATCTGCATCGCCACACGCCCCTATCTATTTCTTTCCACCATCGACCATGTCTAGATCTGTCGGCGGGCTGTTAGCGTTCTTGTACTTACGCGCAAGGTAGAGCATGGAATATCCCCCAACTCCCTGCCAGTGACCACGGGCTTCCCTTGTTTATACGCCACGTTGAGAATTATCCGCGCAACTTTTACAAGTCCAAATGGAAGACCCTTGTATTCCAGGCGGATGCCAAGGGGATCCTGAACGCCAGAAAAATGTCTTGTTCCCTGCAACCAACCCGTCGGACCCAACAACACGGTAAAGGATGTCTGACCGGCGTTAACTGCGAACCTCGCTCTCTCAAGAGCTGTAGACGACGGTCCTGAAACTCAAAGTAGTGCTATACAGATCCTATCTAGCGATGGAACTGGATTTTTCTTTGGACGTAGTCGTGGTATTTAATATATTGTGGTTGTTGATTACATAATAATGGACATGGATGACTTCTCCCTACCTCGGTGGTCGAGCCAGACGGACGCTGGCGCCGCCACGTCTCCACTGTCCTCGACTGCGACGGCGGCCCAGGCTGCATACTATGCCCCCCGCATCCACGAGACCGCCATCGCCCGCTCCCAGAGTCTAACCAACTCCAATGCTCGTCGCCGCCACCACAACCCCGACGAACTCGACGCTGGTTTCTATCCTGCGTACAATACAAACGACCCTTATGCCGATATGTACTATACAAAGCGCACTGAGCCTCCAAGGTCCCCCCTGCGCACTCCAAATTCGGCCCTCTTGGACCCGTACACCCACCAGCAGGCCCAGTACTCCCCCACAACGCCCCAGTATCCCTATGGACCCCCACAGGACCAAAGACCGTACCAGGGACATACCCGGGGGCTGTCCCAGCCAAAGACAGACGCAGGCTCCCCTTACACGCCCAACTATGCACCCGCAACCCCGTATCTCGACCCCGCAGCGCGCTCAAACCCCCCAACACCCCTCTCCTACCTCCACCCGTCCCAGTCACCCGCCTCGTATTATTCCCAGGATACACAGCCGATGGCCGTCGACCCCCCACCCCAGAAACGACGGGCTTCCGGCTTCCGCCGCGTCCGCACTGCCCACGACCTCCAACCCCGCCTCGACGGGCCTATTTCCGGTCGCCGTATGGGCGCAGACGGTGTCTACCTTTCGGTCCGTCCCGATCTAAGCGATCGCACGCGCACCCGCTAATTTTTTATTTTTTATTTTTCACTTTGCAGCCCCTGCGGCAGTTGACGACCAACCTGCTCGACACGTACCACATCTGCAACCCCCAGTTCCGATATGAGTCGGCCCATAACCCCCGCCGCGTACTCACAAAGCCGAGCAAGCCCGCCCACAACGACGGATATGACAACGAGGACTACGACTACATCCTCTACGTCAACGACTGGCTCGGTGCAGAGGACGGCCACAAGTACTTGATTTTGGACATTCTCGGCCAGGGCACTTTCGGCCAGGTCGTAAAGTGCCAGAACATGAAGACCCACGAGATTGTCGCCGTCAAGGTCGTCAAGAACAAGCCCGCGTACTTTAATCAGAGCATGATGGAGGTCACCATTCTAGAGATGGTGCGCGCGCCTTCTTTCCTACTAACGCGCCAGCTAACACCTCGCAGCTCAACAAGAATTCGGACCCGAACGACCAGCATCACATCCTGCGGCTGCGCGACTCATTCATCCACCGCTCACATCTCTGTCTCGTCTTTGAGCTGCTCAGCTCCAATCTCTACGAGCTCATTAAGCAGAACCAGTTCCAGGGCCTGTCGACGCAGCTCGTCAAGGTCTTTATGGCGCAGCTCCTCGACGCCATGACCGTCCTCAAAGACGCGCGCCTCATCCACTGCGATCTCAAACCCGAGAACATCCTCCTCAAGTCCCTTCAGTCCCCACAGATCAAAGTCATTGACTTTGGCTCCGCGTGCCACGAGCGGCAGACTGTGTACACGTACATCCAGTCGCGCTTCTATCGCTCCCCGGAAGTCTTACTCGGGATGGCGTACACTGCAAGCATCGACATGTGGTCGCTCGGCTGCATTGCGGTCGAGCTATTCCTTGGGCTGCCGCTATTCCCTGGGACGAGCGAGTACAACCAACTGACACGGATTATCGAGATGCTAGGGCTGCCGCCGCAGAGCATGCTCAACACGGGGAAGCAGACCGCGCAGTTTTTCGACTCGTATGAGGTGTATAACCCGCATACGAATACGAACGAGAAGAAGTATCGGTTGAAGAGTATTGAGCAGGTGCGCGCGCCGCTTTCCTGATATAATCATACTCATGATACGCATCGCGCCCCGCAGTACTCGCGCGAGCACAGCACAAACGAGCAGCCCGGGAAGCAGTACTTCAAGGCGACGTCGCTGCCCGAGATTATCAACACTGCGCCGATGCCGCAGACCAAGACTGCGCGCCAGGGGCACGAGGTCGAGAAGGGTGCGCCTGTCGTCGTCTTGTATTTACGGAAAGTGCTAATTCCGCGCGCAGAGCTCAACAACCGCGCGTCGTTTGTCGACTTTTGCCAGGGGCTGCTGAACCTCAATCCCG